TTCGATTTTCACCTTCGCTCCGTATCGATCCGCCGCCAACTTTAGATGTAATATCGCGATTTCAAGTGGAAGGCGGTGGAGCGGCGTGGAAAGAGAGAAGGCGGCGGTGGAATCAATTTCAATTGCTACCGCTACCACCGCCGCCTTCTAACGACTCGCGAACGCAAAAAACAAACGAAAAACGGAGCGAAAGAATGATCGCCATTTTTAATAAATTAATTGAATTAATTATTTGAAATTAGGTTTTGTCTTAAATGTAGATTGAATTAGTTGTGTGAGAGGGGTTGCATGGTGGAATTAATTAGGAAACAAGTGTCTGTTGTTGTTGTTGTTATGGTAGTGGTAGTGGTAGTAGCTGTTTGAGAGAAGAAGATGAGAAGTATTGTGGTGGTGGTGGTGGTATATCTAGTGTGTGTTGTATATAAAGTTGTTGGTCACTCAATTAGCCACAAATCGCTCAATATTTGATTCCGTCGGCTCCTTTGACCGTCGCTGAGCCTCCAATTAGTGTGAACCGTCGCTCGCGGCGCTCGGCGGTTCCTTTGATCTTCCTCTTGTATGTGTGTGTGAGCGAGTGCGAGAGAGGAGCTGAGCCGTACCTGCGTCGAAGCCGCTTAACGTTTGGACGGTGACCGAACCCAAAGAAAAACGACGCATATCGCGGCACCGTCTAAACGCGCGGAACCGATCAGAATGTGATTAAGTGAGGAGAGACTCACCTCAACTTCAATCTCTCTGTCTCTCTCTTTCTCACACACACTAACAGTGGAATTATTATTGTTGCGGTTGGTAACGGACGGTGCGAAAGATCGTGTACGTAAGACAGAAAGAGAGAGAGAGAGAGATAGAAGGAGAGAGAGAGAGCGTCGCGACGTGTGTGGAATGCTCTTAAACAGATTCCACGCCGGGTGGCGACCGAATTCCAAACCAATAAATCGTCAGTTTGTGTGTGTGTGTATGTATGTATGTGCATGTTCTCATCCGATGGGAACAACGAAATTAAAATTTAAAATTACTACAACCATCAGAGAAACAGAGAGATTCTTTCTTCCGTTCTGAAAGAGTGTGACTGACTGACTGACTACTTCTAGATGATGGGGTTGATCGACTTGATTGAACTCTTTCTTTCTCTTTCTCTCTTTCTCTATCTATCTTACGTTACGATGGTAATACGGTACTTTCGTACGGTAGCCATGGCTACCACACGTACGCGACCGCAATCATTTTCGAAGATTGTGAGAACCTACCGCCTCCGCCGCCACCACCGTATCACCATCGCAACAGTAACTATAGAGATGCAATAACAATAACAAGAAGAAGAAGAACAACGGCCACGCGTTTCTGCGGTCTGCGGCCCTTCCGACTGCAACTAACTACAAAGTAGATACGCCGAGATGATTTCATTTCGTAAACTTCTAAATAATCCTCACTCATCAATAAGATTTGTGTGTGTGTGCGTGTGATCCGCAGCTGGCTATTAACCTTTCGTCTTCTTCTTCGGGATGTGAAATCGATACAACGGCCGCCGCAGCAAACACACACACGAACCTGTTTAGGGAAACGTCAGATTTGATAGCTGTCACATTCTGACAACATCAATTACTGAAGCAGCAGCAGCACTGATGGTAGTAGTGGTGGTAGTAAAACAAAAAAAAAAACAGAAGAAGAATGAAAACAATTTACTGTCGACTACTTCGATTGTAAAGTGTAATTATATGTAATATGAAAGTAATCCAATTGGAAATTTTAAAAATCGACGTTGTCAAGAAAACGAACAGTCTGGTTGACAGGTGTCAACGTTGACAATTAGCAGTGGCGTGCGTGTAGAATGCACGCAGAAATGATTACGAATTGATACAATTTATGGATAGAAAAAAAAGAAAACGTGTAATGTATAGTAATAATAATTAAGTGAAATTAATTCCACTTTAAAATCAACCATCTCTCTTTTCTTCATTCACATTTTTTTCTCTCTCTCATTTTTTTTTGTTCTTCTTCCAGTTTGAGCGCTCACGTGCACTTAATAAACTATATATGTTACACTAATTAGTCGCGAAAGGAAATTGTCTATTAGCTAATTGACGATGATGATTAACTTGTACGCATTATTATTATTATTGTTTCTCTCGCGTTTCGATATATCTCACTGATTGGTGAAAGGGATATTCGATTGCGGTAACTTTTGACGTAATCCTAACCCAAAATCAATTGACTTTGACGTATCTGTCATCGTTGACGTTGCTGTTGCTGTTGTTTCCAACGCCACCTTTTAGTCGCCTCTTACGACAAGCAGGAGTTACTTTGGTCGTATTCTTGACCCCGAACCAAAGGGCCCCCGAATGTACACCGCATTTACACACCGGTAGAAGATCGTCTGCGAAGATGCCGATTGCGGATACGGTTTTGCATACGGAATTGTGGGTTCACTACGATCGCGTGGTCTACGCCAATAATCGGAGAGGCAAACAAAAAACAATTTTTTTTTTTCACCTAAAACAAAGAACGTTCGAAACAAAAGAAATGAACTCTAATCGCATTGGTGGAAGGAATTGAAAAGGTGGGCGCTGTACGTTTAAAAGAATCGGAGAAGCGCGAAGAAGAGAGAGAGAGAGAGAATAGAGTGAGTGTAGTGTGTGTGCGGTGGTGTGAAGGGGGGAAGGAGAGACCTCACACATTGAAGACAAGACATTCATTATTCGCCTCGGCTCTCTCGGATCTCAATATCGGTTACCATTTCCCCTTTTTGACAGATAGATAACCTCTCACGTCAGACTCAAGAATGACAGTTATTACGTCGGCCATTTGCGGGTCGGCAGGGCGCGTCCCCTAATGACTGTCATTTCCGTAAACGATGACACCCCTCCCCCCCCACACACCTCTCTCAATTTTCAACTTTTGTTTCTTTTAATTCTCTTTAATTTGTTTGATTTCTTTGTTTTCGATTCAATTTTCGAGTCGATAACCCCACAAAAAAATTAAAGAGTTGTAGAAGAGATAGAGACAGAGAGAGAAGCAATAATAAACGACAAAATAGTAATGATTACGAGATGATGATGATGATGATGATAATAAATGTTTAATTTAGTGTTCTTAATGGGAGGCCGTCGTAGTTGGCGTTGCCGCCGCTTCTGATTCTTCCTCTCTTTCATCCTATTTTAACCTCTTTTTATTCCTCATCATCATCATCATCATCTTTATTCCCTTCTTTAATTGTCGGCGGATTTTACGGCCTTACGAAACGGAAACGAAATTAAATTACTCTTCTACTGCTGCCGCTGCCTCTTCCTAACTCTGAATGCTGTTGCACACTGCATACACACTCATTCACTCACACTAAAAACTTAAGTAAATGAGAAGCAGAACCGTATAATATAGTGAAATATATAAATATAACCTCGCAGAATTCGAATTTAGCGTCTTCGCACCGGAAGCTATCGTCACCTCTGTTTAGTTACCATGACAACTTGCACGTCTTAACGTCAAAATTAGCAACGAGCAGCGAATGAATGAATGACAGACGGAGAGAGAGAGAGGGAAGGAAACAAAAGAAGTGGATGTTGTATCAAGGATGGTTGGTGTACGCGTTTCGTAGTTAATGAGCCAATTAAATGTAAATTTCGTGCAGTTAAGTTGCGAATACTGTTGCGAGTATTTACTACAACGATGTTGAAGATGATGATGATAATAATGATAATGGTGGTGCGCGCATTTTAATTACTTCTTTAGCGTAGAAAGCGCTCACTAGATTCGCTTTTGTTTGATTTACATGGAAACGTCAAACAACAACAACAACAACAAGAACAATAACAAAGTGATCTGCGACAGATGACAACAAACCCAAAACAAAATGTAAACAAAAATATTGATCGACATTTGTTTTTGTAAAGAGAAATCTGAAAGAATTGTTGCTTCTTTTATTTATTTGTTTTCAATATCGGAAAAAGTAAGGTGGCAATGAAAATATCGTCTCTCTTTTTTTTTTGGTGTACTTGTTTCGAAAACAAAGTGGGTGAAAGTTGCGGCTAACAAATGAAGCTAATCGCGTAACAATTTGAGCACTCATTATTTATTTTTTTATTTTTTGGTTAATAAACCGCGAAAGAGTTAGAGAGAAAGATGAATCGCCGCAGCCGCCTAACGAGGCTCCACAATTAAAAGAGATTCAATTGTTTTCTTTTTGGCGAAAACAGTTGAACACGAAACAAAAAGAAAAAAAGAATAAACGCAGTTGTGATTGGAAAATAACGTAGAATGTTCACTTGTTTGGTTTACTTTTGTTTTCCGAGTGAAGATTGAATTAAAATATTGACTAATTTCAATCGTAATCTAAATTTCATTACAGATTAAGTACAGAGAATTGTAGGTAATAATGTTAAGTTTTAATTTCTTTTCTCTAATTTTTAAATAAATATTAAAAAGTAATTGAAAGTTTCAAATTGGAAATTTACACTTTTTTCTGAGTTGCTTCATTCTTCCTATTCGACGACCACAAAATCAAATTGGATTTAGATTTAGTTTGTAGTGTAAATTGTTCAGTTCCTTTAATCAATGAAACAATTCCAATTTGAATATTTTTGTCTTTTTAGTCAATCAGTTCACTAAATTTACTTAACTAAATTTGTTGAATATATTCAAAGTTGGGCCTAAAAGTGTTGGTTTTCTCAATTGGGATTAATTTAGTTTGTAATTAATGAAAACTAATTGCAATTAATATTATAAATATTTAGTCAAATATTACTTATGTAATATTTTCTAATTAGTCAATCTTTTTAATTGAAATGAGTAAGAATGTCATAGAAATTTATGAGATTAATTAGATATAGAGATTTATTCAATATTGGGTCTAAATGTGATGTAATGTCTTAAAGTATTACTTAGTTAAGTTTGTAATTAATTTTTGTTTTTCCACAGACGACTACCGTTTTCGCTACTACCATTATCGTTATTGCCATGGTAATGATATCAACAAGAACGTTGTCATAGTGATTGCGATGCATTACCTGCGTTCGTTTCGGCGGCGTTGGAGTCGAAGGTTTTGCTAGTCATCTGGAAGAGGGCGTCCAGCGGTGTTCCGGAGGGCGTCTTCTGCGAGGAACCGGCAACCCTCTGCCGTTGCGAGTGTACTGCAGCCGCAGCAGCAGCTGCCGACGGAACGACGATGTCCGGGGAGCAGCAGTCGCTGGCGACGCTCGACGATCTGTCGCTTCCCGTTTCCGAGGTGTAACTGGCGTTGGCGAAGGCGCTCGCGAATTCCGGCCGCAGCAACGCCAACTGCTGCTGCACCTTCAGCTGCCGGTGAAACCGCTCCAGGTGATTACCATGGTGATGGTGGAGTTGACTGTGATGGTGATGATGTTGATGCTGGTTGCTAGCGCTGTGATGATGGTGATGGTTGTGGTGATTGTGATGATGATGGTTGTGATGGACGACGACGTCTTCTTCGTCTGTGGTGGCGGTGGTCGTGTCCAGGTCCCAGGGCCTGACGATTCGCGTGGGTTGCGCCTTCGTCGCCGGTCGATGGTTCAGTATGTCGACGATGGAGAAACTCTTGACGCCGCCGTCGGACGTCGCCCTCGAATCGTCCGCGACGTCCGCGTCGACGTCGGCTGCAGCAGCAGCAGCAGCGACGTCGTCGAGAGATCGCCGCCGCCCATCGCTGTCGACCATCTTGAGCTTCTTCAGAGGTTTGAAGTAATCCTCCGGGTCGGAGGATTCGGGACATCTGCAGCCGACGCCTGAAACGACGACGTCCTGCAGATCGGTGGTGATGCTCGCCGTGGTCGTGTCGTTGTTGCGTTGAGGCGAAGACGTCGGCATCGGACTCGGACATCCGACGCTGATCTCATCTTCAGACATACATTTGGACGAAGAGACGTTATCATCGTCCTCCTCGTCGACGTCCTCCATCATCATCATCATCGTCGTCGTCGGCTGATGACAACCCATCGTCGTCGGACTGGAAGTTCTCGACGAAACCGGCGACTCGAATTTATTACTGGAGGACATGTAAGGAGACATCGCGCGATTACCAGTTTCTTGCATATTTTCCAACTACACCACCGAAACCATTTCTTCTCCACTCCAATTTATCACTTGAATCGAAGAGAAGAGAAGAGAAGAAAGAAACACGCACACTTTTCGAAGTAAACCACAATTATCAATTAAATAAACCCAATAGAAACGGAACCGGAACCGAACTAAGATTATTTTATACAAAAAATGATTGCGTTACGTTACGTTACGTAGTAGTAGCGTTTATTACGTTCGTGCAAAGAGTAGATCCGTCTGGATGGGATCTGCCCGATCGAGTGACCCGCTCCCATCCGTCCATCCGCCGCAGCCGTCGGCCACGCCCCCGTCCGCATCTCTAACCTCACAACCGGTGGTGGGGGGCGTACCCTAACGTACGCCCATCCCGCGTCCGACCAATCGCGTGTCTCCGTCGAGGGACGCGATTGGTTGGACGAGAGCGGCCGTTTCATGTCGGACCGCGCCAATCGCGACGCCCGTCGTCCCTTTCGTCCGGAATTAATGAGGTTTTGTTTTAAGAGAGGGATTTAGGATGTGAGTTATTTCGCTTTTACGTTCCGTCCTTTATCGTCCCGACGACTCTCTTTTATTACACACACACACACAAAATCCAATATATTCGGATTATTTTATGGTTAATTTTTATTTATCACCTCCATCTCTCTCTCTCTCTCTCACACACATACCGAAACAAAAAATCCATCACTCAACGAAACATTCTTCTCTCCTTTCAACATCACTCAACGATTTGACACTTTACGCAAAACAAAAAAAAAACAATTGCAATTTGATAAACAAAGTAATCCATGGAAAAGAAAATAAATGAAGGTTACTCAAGAATCGTGTAAATCCGCTGATAATAAGGTAATCAAAAAAAAAATGAAACTAATGTGATTATAATTCAACTGAGCTTAAAACCCTTCGCGTATGTAAATATATGCGGGTCTCGACAAAAAATAATAGGGAATTATTTAATATGCGGATGAATTATTCATACGAAAATGATCGTAATTAATTGCCATTAACATAATTATTAACTCTCACTCTTTCTATATAAATATATTACTTTGCCGAAAAAAAAATAATAATAAGGCATAGTTTAAAAGTAATATCGTAACGTTACGAGGCGAAATTTATTGAATGTAAAATATTTCAAGGTAATGAATTAATTCATATTTTTGTTTTGTTGTTGTTTTGATAATGAAGAGTGAGCTTTGCATAAGACGGAGGAGGAGAAACAATGGCTTAGTTGGTTTCGTCTCTATGACAACAGAAACAAACATCTGTCGCGCGTTTGTGACAATCGCGGTTGGTGTCCTTTTGAGATGGATTGGAATAATAATGATCGAAGCAAATTGGAAAACGCAACAAGAAAAACTTTCCATATTCCGGTTGGAACATCGAAAGGTAAGATTTCCTTTGAATTTCCAATCGATTCGCGTTTTTGACGTTTTAGAACTGTCATCGGGATGATTTCAATATGGCGTGTATTTGCAAACAGCTGACGAGGTTAATTATTGACTTTGACGTTTCAGAATTGTCATTTGCAAACAGCTGTGTGTAAATTAACCATGTTTATTTGACGTTTGTTGCGAAAACAGCTGACGCTATTAACATCCATTATGATTACGACGCCATCTATCGCGGCCTTTTAACTTACGCGAAAGGATGCTGACGATAATGATGGAAAAAATCTCTCGCATCGTCGTCGTCGTCGTTTCTTCGGCGCGCAAATTGTTTTCGTGTGAAATGACCTGGCGAATGTAAATACTCGTCGGCTCTGATACGTACCGCACATCAAAGGGACCCGGCACCAGGCGACGTCTGTCCGTAACGAGCCCACAGATCTTCTCGCCGAACACACACATATACATACACACATCTGTTGCACTCTTCAATTGTCTTTGTTTTTTGTTTATTGCGTTTGTTTCGTTTGTTATCTATGTAGACTTAACTGAGATTGTCAAGAAAAAATCATAATATCTTTGTTAACAAAGAAGCAATGTAAATTGCGTGGAATGCGATTTGTAATAATGAGAGTGTGCGAAAAAATGTAAATTTCAGTTCGTGCGATCGGCAACGGCACGAGTGTGCCTATGTGTTTGTGTGTGTGTAGAATAATTACAGACATCTGCAGAACATCTAGTTTGTTCTCGGTTCCTTAGCAACGATTATAGTAAACGACTGCCGCGATTGGCGGACCGCGACAAATGAATTAATTGAAGAGATGAAACAAAAATAATTGATGGAACACACAAAACAAATGAATGAATAAATAGACGGTTGAAGAAAAGTTGATTGAGTTTGATGAAAACATCAGATTTATAAAACCTCGATCGATTTGAAAACTGTCATCGTTTGTAAATAAATGAATGAAATAATAATCGGAGCGGCTTCGAGAGTTAGAAAACAAAAACAAACAAAAAAACGGCGAATGAAATAATCGAGTACGTGCAGAAACAGTGAGAGGAAACAAAAGCGAATAGTTAACAAAAGTTGAGTGTAAATAAGAAGTGATTTGAGCGAAGTAGAAACAATTGAATTGTCAATTGTTTACAGAAAAGAAGTGTCGAAATAAGAAAGAAGAATTAAGGCACAAATAGGAAACAAATGAAGTACGTTTGAACGTTGAAACGAATTGAGACGATTTGAGAGAAATTTATATAAAGTGGTCGGGTGTAAATAACAATTGGATTGAGTGGAAATGAGATTTGTTTGTTTGGGAAAGAAATGAAGGAAACAAAAGGAGAAAAATCAGGATCGAATGTCCAATAAACGTCGTATTTGAGAGGGTGTCGAGTTAATGGCATCAATTTGTACCCGTATTCATCCATCTCCATTCTAACTCAACTTAACCAAATCTAACTCGTACTAAGTCCAAGTCTAAGTCTAACATATTGTAGTGCACTACTAGTATATTGACTACCCCTCGTGTCTTGAATGGATGAAGCCGTAATTGAAGCGTTATTAACACGACAATGACGACACTTTAATTCCGTCCGGCAACCGAGAGGGATGCCTTTTCGTTGCCTAGCGACCGCAAGGATTGTTGCGGATTTTCACGCAATCTAGGAGGCAGCTGCAAGAGAGCAGCGAAAGGCGCGCACAAAAGGTGTTGTCGGTCGCTACGTCTCTCTCTATGTCTCTCTCTCTTTCTCTCTCTCGTGTACATTCTATGTGTGTGTCCGAGGAGGCGATGGAAAAAAGGTAATTATAAAACCGACCTCACACCGAGAGCTCACGCCTCACGAGAACCCCTCCATATATGCATCTATCGCTCACTCACTCTCTCTCTCTCTTGCACACAATTTTTGATGCATACATACGTATCAATCTGCATCTCGCTCCATCTTCCGAACACTAATGACACCCCTTCGCGCGACCATAACAACCACCGACTACCATAGCAACAGTAACAACAAAAAAAAAGTAGAAGTAGCGACGGGTGGTTGCTAATTAAATTCGAAGCGCTTAATTAATACACGCCGACTGCGATTGGAGGGTTTTTTTTTTTCGAACTGGACAAAAAAAAAATTTGTCATCGAGCGTGGCGAATCGCGCGTTTTGTAAAGTACATGTGAAGGTGAAGGGGAGAAGAATAAGTCAATTCGAGACCATTCAGAAAATCGTTAGTGCCTCTCTCTATTATTTATCTTCTCATTTTTTTTGTGTGTCGGTTGTGTTGTTCGCAGTGAATGGGAGAGTGAAGAGAACGGTCGAAAACCGGTGGCAAATCGATTTCCAATTGAATGCGAAATTAGGACCGAGATGAGTGGTGTAGAGTGGAGAGAAGTGAGAACAACGTTTACAACGTGAAGTGAACGTAATAGCGCAAATAACAAATGCCGGCAACGATTGATCAGATGTTTTTTTTTTGAAATTTTGAAATAAATGATAGAATTGCAGATGGCTGTTTTTGGAAAACAAAAGCAAAACAAAATCGCTCTATTTAGTCACCTCTCACGACCAAAGGGCTCTTCTCTACTATTTAAAATCTATACATCTCCATCTCTTTAAACTGTTGAACATCTTCATGTTGAAGGAATGTGCGAAAATCGACGAAAGCCAATTAAACGAGACGATGATCTCCCTTTTGTGCTGCAAACGCGTTCGTGTCTGCCTGCATCTCTTCATTTTTTCTGTTGTTGTTGTTGTCCATGGCCAATTTCGTTTTTTTTTTTTGGACAATGCGAGAAAAGAGAAAAACTAAAAGGGCGCAGTCATCCATCGACTATTGTGAGAATAAAGAAGTGAACACTAAACTTACTAAATGTCTCAATTAACCGAAATTATTTCCGATGTTTATTTCCATTCTGCCCGCATCTGTGCGGTCGAAAATTGAGGTGATTCGTAAAAGGTGTCTCTATTTCAATTTCTCTTTTGTTTCTATCAAATAACAACAGAAGAACGAGAGAGAGAGAGAGAGAAAAGAAAAGAAAAGGGTGGGTGGGTGCGTGGTAACACCACCTGTTATCATTATGCGGTATTATTTTATAATTTGATTGGGGTTTTCTGGACGCGCCCCCGTTTCACGGTTCGTCTGTGAATGAGAGAAAACGGATGGGATTTTTATGAGAAATGATGGGAGAGAGAAACGTCGAAATTGTATAAAAAAAATATAAAAAGGGGTTGGTTTTGTGTTGCGTGCGTGTGTGGGGTCTCACATACCAAATAAATATCATTTGGTTGTTATATATATATGTATACATATGGATATGGATAGGAAATATTAATCTTAAACGTAGAGAATCGAGGGTGGCTTTGACGAAACAAAAGGGTGCTGGTCATAATTGAAACTTAATTCTTTGTTTTGTTTTGTTTTTTTTTTTTTTTGACATGTGCACGAGATAATGTTCTTTTTTTTTTTGTTTCGTTGAAGGAAGTGGAGTGAATTGAATAATTAAATTAGGTTATTAATAATATTCTAACCAAGAAAAAAATATGCAACGTAACCTCTTCATTACGTTGGACCGGA